GGTGATTCTTGTCTCTATGAAGCAATCGGGAGGCTCTGAGGAACCTGAACATGGTGCAGTAAATCCTGTGTGTTCATCACACGGCTGTTAAAATACTAGAATCAGATGATCAAGTGACTGGTTGACCGTCCTTTAAATTAAAGACAAAGTGTATCGATGATGTCACAGATTCTGTGTTTGAGCTTAAAGACATTGATTGTTCATGTGAATACTTCTATAAGGGAACAAGCTGCAGCAGTTGAGATGCTTTTGTAGGCCAGCAGAGCTTTAATAAAGGAGAATAAAGTGTCTCTTCATGCATTCATCTGATCCTTCTAACAGGGACGAATGATGAACCAGAGGAGAACGACTACAAAAATATGAGGATGGAAACAGCTGCAGGTACTTCAAGTACAACACACCATGTAGTACAATCTGAGTGTACTTGTGTATTACTACCAGCAGTCAGCAAAGGTCAAACACAACACTTACACCTGTTACTCTTAAATAACCTTTAATCTCTTTTATCAGATGGATAAAAACATCTGCATGGACAGAACCAGGGGAACGGATGACGACATGAAAAACCACATCTTTGTCTTTTTGAGTAATTATTGTGTCAACTTCTTTATTTCTGATATGGGACCATATTTTTAACCCATGAAAGGATAATTGAAAGGAAATACATCATATGTGTGTAAAAGTGTTACTTGGTGAAGAGTAGATTATTACATTTACTTATTCAAATGATGCTGTTGAGTGTTTACTGTACATTTCATTTTATCTCCTCAGTCGCTTTGTTCATTAAAGTTTTTTTTTAATGGAGGCTTGTTTGAAAAGCAAAAAAAAAGCAGTTTGACGTCTTTGAGCTTCAGTAAGTTGGTGATATTTTTCAATATGAAGTAATCTTTTATTTTTATTTCTGATTAAAAAAAGTTGTACGCATTTATTACACATTTAATCTGTTATCGAACAACACATTTCTCGAACATTTAAGTTGAACTTTGTCTCTTTGAAATGTTTGATAAGTGCGGTTTGTATTTTATCTTCACCTGTTTGTGTATAATACATTCCTTTATGTTTAAAATTTTTATGCATCAATAAACTTGCATCTCTGAGCAGTGTTTCCTACAATCATTTATTTAATTAAATAAATATTAGAGATTA